ACGGGCAGATTCGTTGAACGAGTAGTCTCGTTGTGACAGCAACGACATGAATGAAGGCGGTGAGGATGCGGTGGACAAATCTGGGAAGAGGATTATTTATCTTTTACAAACTTATGAGATATACTAAATTTGAGAAAATATGTGATTTTTGAGAAGCCACGAATAACTTTTTCACTGTTATCATTATTAATTTTTTTTTCTTTGCAGGTTTTCTCGGTTGCATATAAGGGTAATATAGCAATATTATGTATAAGTCATGTGTTATATAGATGAGATAGGGCTTTTGGTCATACATTGAATTATAATTTGTTTGAATGATATACAATGCAATTCCCCATATGATAATGTGTCTCAAAAGTGAGATGCACACTAAATACAATAAAAACATGCAAACAAAAAACCACCACTCCAAAACTATACTATTTTAGAAACTAGAGTTGAACCCATTCTATAGACGGATGAGCAAATTAAAATTCACAAAATTATATTTTAAATTAATTATATTTAACAAATTTATTATTGGCTGAAAATAATTAATTTTAACTTTTTGTTTTTGTTGTTAGAAAACACATGCTAGTAAAATTAATAATTAATGTAATTATTTTTTTAGTTTTTTATTTTTTATGTTTTTATTATACAATTATTTTTAGTTTTTAGTTATTTAATTTTTTTCTATAAATAGTTAATTTTTTCTAGTAGTTGATCCATGATTTGCATGAATTTGTTTTTATTATATATTTTGTTTAACATTTGTTTTTATTTAGCAATATTTTATTATCATTATATATGAATTATTTTATTTAATTACTATTTGTATCAATTTCTATTAAAACTGTTTAATGCTTTGATATTCGGTTTTACTCTCGTTGCAAAAACTTAATTTCACAATAAAACTATTGATATACTTTAGTGAGACTAAGACTATTTTTATTTTGAAACTATAGATTTTTTGGTGCATTTGTCTTATTTTAGATTATATAGTTTGATTTCTACGATTATTTTTATCTTATTTTTTACAGAATCTCTTTTTGTGTTTTACAAATAGTTTGTTTTTAATTTTCATATCCATATTAAATTTATACTTGAAGATTTTAGGGAATTCATAACATACGTTTTCTCTTTTATAACATTTATTTAGATATAAAATAATCTTTGCTCTCTTGCTATCAAAAGAAAATTTTTTTATCGCTTGTTAATTAATGTTTTATATGTTATATATTATTTTATGTTTTCACTAATTATGTATTGTTTTTTGCTATAGGGTTTTCATTAATTTCTTGTTAATAATTAGGTAACAAACTAAAAGTTAGTAATGATCACATAATGCCTAATACTTATAAATATAACTTAAGATTCCGGTAATATCATATTTCTACTTCAGACCATGTTAGGAATCTGAAAAGGCAGTAGGAATGAGCCTAATAAATGTTGTTTTCTTAACTAAAGAGGTTCTATTATTAAACCGAATGGAGAAAGGGGCATCCATCCGAAAATTGAGGTTGTTGCGCGTTACATCGAACCCGCTCAACCTATAGACTGACCCTTCGCTAAGATGCTGCCTGAACATGAATTGACGGTTCGTATTAACAGAACCTTTTGAATAACCGGCGACTGTTAGAAAGGACAAATTATTTTGTAGAAAATCATAATGGAACCAATCGTCAACAGCGTTAATCGGAAAGGAGATGCTTACATTCTCGTCGATGAGGAGCATGTCTAGACTCTTGAGCTCACCGCCTTTCCTCACATTTCTGGCCTCCCAGAACCTCAGCAAGTGAACCTCAGTGGTGTTGGAACAGCACTCGACTTTCAAATCGGCAAGGAGGATGGAATAAATCACCATAGTAGCAATCGGAAAGTTGAACAAACTTTTCTTCTAATGCTCGTTGAAGCTGTGCTTTTCATGTCGGAAAAAAGGATATATATACTCACACCTCTACATGATTATTTTCGGGATGCGATAAGGTGGTTTCAATGATCCAGAGTGAGTTAATCACTTATAAAATAGGAGGAAAGAAAGTGTGAATCAAGCGTGCGTCGAGACGTTACAGATCGAGACGTTACGGAGAGTTAATAATTTATTCTGATATTTACAACCCTCGTCGACTGATCTAGGGATCTCAAACAAAGGTGACGACCAAACCTATAATATTAAAGGATTTCTATAATCTGAAAGTGTAAACGCAATCTACAACAATAAAAACCCAAAACAAATATGTATTTTACCAATAATATATTTTTAAAAAAATAATATAATTTTTTTCTAAAATCCAACAAATAGTTTCTTAAACTTTAATAAGGTGACACATGACATTTTTGCCCCTCCTTCTCCCTAGAGAAAAAACTAACTTTATTATATAAGATGCTCGATCCAAACCTTCATCATAAACACTTAATCGAGACTCTTCGTAAAATCATCACGTACAATTTTTCTTTTGTGATTTTCTCTTTAACCAATCAATTAATTGCCTCTTTTTGTATGTCTAAACAGTTTTTTTCTCATAACGTTTATTATATCTTTTTCTTTGTTTTCGGTGTCACACTCAAACGCGTCACAAAGCCTTTAGTTATGAAGGATCCACTAGTTGTAATAAAGTGGACTTGGTAGCATATATGAGTTTTGGTCTGAAAAAATGTGTCAACACTAAAACTAATAAAAGTGAACGAGGTTTTTTTTTTATTAACCTGGAGATATTCCGGACATATGAAGGATCCCAGACTAATCTTCAAGAGGAGGCACATCCAACAAATAGACCTTTTTCGGGTATGTAAATGGGCCTAAAAGCATAGATCCATTTTCGTGTAGGTATCTAAGAACAATATGACTTAATTTCACGTAACAAGTGGATCGAACGTGAAACGTGTTAGCGTCCCATCCCCTTCCACTTACCACTCCAAAGAAAAAAATAAAAACAAATTTGCATGAACTGTTCAAGATATGCCAGCATCTTGCTCGAGCATGTTGACGAGTCCTTTAGGCAAGTAAAACATAAAATTTTTTTTTTTTTTTTTTTTTTTTTTTTTGCAAAACTAAAATCAGAGTGGTTGAAACCCTTTAACAAAAAAAAAAGGAATCAGAATGGTTGATAGCTATCAATGAGGAGGTGAGATACTTCTAACGAACATGTCAATACTTTTACTCCAACACATGTTATCATCATACTAAATAAAATAATATATGAATGCAATATTGAATATGGAATGATGATTTATTCATAATAATAGCATTATATATATATATATATGTATATATATAGAGAAAAATTATATAATATGGAAGGAAGATATACGAGGATTGATGATAGCAATCATCTTACATAATTACATGAATAATATAGACATTAGATATATATTGTTTTCATATCTTATACATTCCCTTAAGATGGATCACCATTAGCGAGGCCAATCTTAATCATTAGTGACTGAAATTGTGGTCGGGAGAGTGGTTTGGCAAGGGCATCAACGAGTTGATCAGCTGAGCAGACATGTGAGACTCAAACGTTCCCAACATGTACCTGATGTCGAACAAAGTGATAATCCAAGGCTAGGTGCTTCATTCGGGAATGGAACATTAGCTTTTAAGTATGTGGCTCCTATGTTGTCACAATAGAAAACGGGCACTCGCGTGGTTTTGAGACCAAATTCACAGATGAGAGATGTGATCCAACATATTTTTGCAGTCGTCGATGCTACGGACCTGTATTCTGCCTTGGTGGAGGAGCGTGCAACACCAGTTTGTTTCTTGGAAGACCAAGCGATGGGATGACAACTAAAGTAGACTATATAGCCACCAATGGACGTGTAATCATCCTTTTATACTGTCCGGGCTGTGTTTGTGAACACATGCAGTGTAAGAGAGTTCTGAGTAAGAAAGTAAATTCCTTGATTTGTCGTACCCGCCAAGTAACATAGCAATCGTATAACAACTTGCCAATTCTTGGTGGTGGGTTGATGCATATACTGAGAGAGTATGTTAACAGTAAAGGACATATCAGGACTGGTCAGGGAGAGATATTGGAGACTACCCACTGCAGCACAGTAATGACTAAGATCTTGCATTTGAGCACCATTTTGAAAAGTGAGCGGTGTATTTGGACACATGGGAGTGGCCACCGGTTTTGCTCATGTCATCTTGTTCCTATGTAGCAAGTCTGCAATATAACGATGTTGTGTTAGTAATAAACCCTCAGAAGTACGATGAGCTTCCATGCCAAGAAAATAATAGAGATTCCCCAAGTGTAAGCGAGAATATGTTTGATAACGAGTTGATGAATTTCTGTAGTTGAGCGTTGTTATTGCAGGTGAGGATTATGTAATCAACATAGATGAGCATATAAAGAAAGACATCATGATGATTGTAGATAAAGAGACTGGATTGGCAACAGAGTTCTTGAAACCAAAATGTATCAGGAATGCGCGCAGCTCGTTATACCAAGCACGAGGGGCTTGTTTCAAGCCGTAAACTGGTTTGTGAAGTTTACATACACTAGTTGGGTTGTCTTCATCGTCCAGTTTGACCTGCAAGAAAGCATGATTAACGTCAAATTATCTTAGAGGCAATTGGTTAGAGACAAAAGCACTAAGAACCAAATTTATGGTCATTGGCTTCACAACAGGACTATAAGTTTCGCTGAAGTAGATTTCAGGCCTCTGATTGTAGCCTTTCGCTACAAGACGGGCTTTGAACCTATCAACAGACCCATCCGGCTTCCTCTTGATGGTGAAGACCTATTTGCAACCGATAAGATTTATGTGCTTGCTTGGAGTAACAAGATTTGCGTATGATTTTTGAGTTGTGCATCAAGCTCCTCATACATTGCTTTGCGCCACCGGGGATCTTTCAAAGCTTCTTGGTTGGAATATTTTCAGTGCAAGGGGTGACTGTAGCTTGAAGATTGAGCTTCTAGACTGGTTTTCGTGAGCGTGTAAACACCCGAGTCAAAGCTGATGGATCAGTTGGAGCTGGTGGAATAGCCGGCGGAGCAGTTTCAGTATTTTGTTGGATTTAACGCCCTGCTTCTCTGTTACTTGTTATTGTAGTTGGCGTAACTGGTTGTGAAGAAGATGATGGCTGAGTAATATTTGGTTTGGTTGCAGGAGATAGTGCTGATGCTGCAGTTGTTGGAGCATGTGAAGTAGGGTTGATTGGAACAATAGAAGCATGCGGTATAATGGGAGCCATATCATTTGTAACACTTTCATCAGGAGAGAAAATAGAGGTTAATGGGTTAGTTAATGCGAAAGGAAACACGTATTCATGAAAAGTAACATGTCGAGACATGTAAATACGATATGTCGCACGATCTAAACCAAAAGTATACGCTTTGACTGGTTGAGTAACCAAGAAAAACACAAAGATATGATCTAGAATCAAGCTTGTTTGCAGTATATAGTCGAAGCCATGAATAACACAACCTCCAAAAAATTAAAGTTTTGAATAATTTGGAATAGTTCCAAAGAGACTTTCAAATGGAGATTTTAGTGATAAAATTTGTGTGGCCATTTGGTTTATTAAATGCATAGTACTTACTAGAGCATAAGTCCAATATGACTTTGGCATGGAAACTTGCATCAAAAGAGACAAGCCTGTTTTGATGATATGTCGATGACTCCGTTTCGCAGTGCCACCATTATGCTCGGGTGTATGGGGAGGGGTGGTGAAATGCAAAATCCCATGAGTGGATAAGTAATTCGATAACGCCATATATTCACCACTGTTATCAGTGTATAGAGTTTTAAGTTTGAATTGAAATCAGTTTTCAACCAAGGCTCGAAATTTCACAATTTTTTTATATAAATTTTCGATTTCCTTTCTGAAGGATAAAACCACTTATGTTTTGAAAAGTGATCAAAAAAATCATGTAGTATTTGAAACCATTAACTGAAATCAAGGATGACGACCAGACGACGGAGAAAACAATATCTAGAGGATGTGTTGATTGCACCGATAATAAACCAAAAGGAAGCTTATGCATTTTGTTAAATGAACGAGCACTACATGGCTTTGTGAAAGAAGGAGGAAAAAAGGAAAATAAAACTTTGAAATCATAGTTTTAAGTATTGGTAAAACTAGATGGCCCAAACGGGAATGTCAATCCGATAAACTAGTTTTAATAGCCAAAGCAAAAGCAAGAGATGGTTGTGTAGATGAGCGATGAGTTGGCCACTCGTAGGTGCCATTCTTAGGTTTGCCTTCCAAACAAAGTGCCCATGTACTCAAGTCCCTTACTGGAAAAGGTTGGAGTAAATGTAATCGAAGCATGGTTAGTATGATAGAGTTGAAAAACAGCGAGGTCGTTTAAGAAAAGGTAAAGATAAGGAGCCAGTGTGGGATATGAAGAGCCCTGAACGTTGTCGTGATGACATCTTCACCTCCATTATATGGAAAGTGTAGTGGTAGGTTAGCAAGGTCCGATGTCATGTGATCGGAGGTTCCAGATTCAAGAAGCCAACTTGAGGAATCACCGGTGACCATCGCAGCATTAGCCGTTGGATGCCATGATTGTTGAGGTGGTTCTGATGGATGCCAGTTCTGCTGTAGTGGAGCATGTTGCCACTGTTGGCCAGAGTTTGTGGACAATAATTGGCAGAGTGACCTTGAACACCACAAGCTTGGCAACGACCAAGATATGGTCGAGTTTGGAAATTGTTGTTCTGGTAATAGCCTTAGGAGTTGTTGTTGCGAGAGTTCTGAGTTCTCCAGTTGTTTTGGCCATGTTGTTTTGGAAGAGGTGAGTAACATGCGCAGTGGAAATGAGAGAATTAATAGCATGTTCGGTGCAAAGAATCATCGCCTCTCGATTTAGGAGTCTCTCATGTAGTTCTAGAAAACGATATTGATTTGTCTCTCCAATTAACAGTGTCGATAACCGGCTTGTAATATTCTAGTAAGCCGGTGAGTATGATCAGTAAGATCTTCAAGGCCAAGAGATTTTCCGAGCAAAGCTAAGTCATCAGACTTAGATTTAAAGAGGCGGAGGTACTCGCTAATAATTTTGGTTCCTTTGATGCAGGTGCGGAATTGATATTTGAGCTGTTATATGTGACCTCGAGATGAATTACCAAAGTTTGTAGCAAGGAGATCCCAAACTTCACAGGTTAAGTTAGCGCTGGAAACCACCAATTGTAGTGGTAGTGAGATTGCACTGATGATGGCGTTATAGAGGAGTCGATCTTGACGCCTCCAAGAGGCAAAGGCTGGATTTGTGACAGATTGATTATCGGTAATGACTGTGGTCTCCGGAGTTGGTTTGGAGATGTTGATGAACTCATGGAGTTCATGCACGTCAATCAGTGCTTTGATATGAGGATTTCACTTTTTTTTTTTGAACACAGACGATTTCACATAATATAGTTGTTGTGTTTGTTGATATTAGACATATTCACTGATAAAGGAGTCGTTGATAATCTCTTTCATTATAGATCATAGCGGTCTTAGCAAAGGAGTTTTCCCCATTGACATTCAAGACGAAAAACAGAGGTATGACGTGAAGATGAAAAAAGAGAATGACGAAAAAAACAAAATGAAGAAATTTTTGTTTGATTTTTTTTGAATTTTTAGTTCTAATATCATATTGAATATAAAATGATGATTTATTCATAACAATAGAACCCTATATATATACAAAGGAAAAACTATACAATACGGAATAGAAATATACGAGGGTTGATGATAGCAATCATCTTACATAATTACATGAATAATAGACGTTAGATATATTGTTTCCATACCTTATACTCATTTCATTAATAATTTGACTGAATTGGATATGTCTGAATTTAAATTTGACAATTTTGAATATCTATATTAGCATATATTTAGATCAAATATCAGAATTCATATATTTTACTCTTATATAATGGTAATTTATTTTAAAAGCATGTTTTAAAAATATTTGTTCATACCTATTAGTTTGGTAAATGATATTTATGTTTCAACTTTGACATGCATTTAATATATTTACATAAAACGTCAAAGGAATCCAAAATAGCACCGACAACAACTTAAATAGATTCTTAAGAATATTTATATATTTTTGTCATCAGTATAAATAGGTTCGATAAAAATATGTTTAGATAACTTAAATATTATATTTATAACTATATATAATAATTAATCAAATAAGTAATTATCAATCTTCAAAACTATCAGTTTCTCATATTTATTGGATTTTTTTAATATCTTCAAAATACTTATTCTCTTTCAAACATTATTCATATCTTTCAAACATTATTCATAGGTAATATATATATATATATATATATATATATATATATATATATATATATATAATTTAAATTAAAAAAATGAAGTTAGATTTTGACTTACAATTTCAAAGTACGTAGTTATTTTCTAATTAACAAGATTTTAGGTAACATGAAATTTATATTTTGTATCATTTTTATATTTTTAATTATTTTACTTACAAAATTTAATGTGAATGTCTAGGTGAAAATTCATCAATTTAACTTGTTCCAAATTAATTTTAGTTTTATTTTAGATATTATAAAATCAGTGGGTTAATTTATGTTTTTAATACGACTCGCATAAACAAGTTAATATGTTTATTCATCATGTCTATTTATTTGAAAAAAAAAATTACTTGTTTGATGGAGTACCACCCAAAAGTTAATCATAATTGTATAAATTTATGTTATTTATGTATATAATTACTTAATTTTAGAGGGTTGCTAAATAATATGGTTCACAACTTGATTTAGAAAAATAAATAGAAATTTATGTTATTTATGTATATAATTACTTAATTTTAGAGGGTTTGCTAAATAATATGGTTCACAACTTGATTTAGAAAAAATAAATAGACTGTATATTCAGTCAAATGCAAAAGTAATATAAATGGTTAATAAGATTATCAGTTAGACTAAACAAAAAGATGATAAAATTATTTTATGCACTGCAATCAATTATCCTGATTCAAAAATATTCATGTTTTAGATAATTTTCAAAAATACATTTATTTAGTTTTCAATGCATTTTTAATAGAGGAATGGCATTTATAATTTTTGTAAAAATAATTATGCATATTTAGTTTCTGTTGTCTTAAGTTATGAGAAATATTTTATGAAAAATAGCATTTATAAATAAAATTTAATATATTTTCTCTCTGTGTAAAATATCAAATATACATCTATTGAATAGAAAATATTAACTTATATATGGACGAATTCACAATAACTATCTACATTATAACGTGAGATGACAAACAAAGTAATGAAAAACTAGGAAACTAAAATATTTTTGTGGTTGTGTAATTATAAAGGTTTGTGATTTTATGGCTTTATTTATACTTGTGTAAATTATGGTGTCACCTATAGTTTCCCTTAAAAAGAAAAAGAATTAAGATAGATTTGACAGAATTTTGAAAACAAATTGAGGAAATGAATAATCAATCACTAAATATGATTTTAAATTCTTAACGATGCTTTTATATATAATGACTATAAATAATATAACTACTTAATTTTTTATAATTTGATTGTAATTCAAATAAACTATTAATAAATAATTTAATTAATTAAAATCAATTATTGTAACAGATGCTAATATATTTATTTAACTGATGCAAATAATTATATCATTTATAAGTAATACAAAAATAGAATATAAATGATGTTAAACAATGTTTTTATGTAGTGTTAATGCTATTTAACTGATAACTATTCTATCTTTTTCTCAATTTACTACAAAAAAAATTCTGAAAAGTTTTAAATTCTTTATTTTTATTGTTTATCTAATTGTTATTTAATATTATTTTCAGCTTAAGCAGATGTTAAAGATATTAGCCAGATATCATTTTCTAAATATATAGCGTTTTACATATATAGCTAAATATGCTATTAGCATTTATCTTATTATAATAACTGAGATTTTTAATTATAATTTTTAGTTTGCTCAATTAAATGGACTTACATTATTTCTATTTGGGATAAAATAATTAAATATAGATTATAAATTTTGAAAAAAATATCGTAATGTTATTAATATTTTTTGTATAGTTTAGAACGGAAAAGATATTTTCGTATATGCTAAAAGTAATTATTTGAGGTTGATACGAGATTTTTAAAGTAATTATATCAGGTTGATGAAATCCGTATGTTACCTCTTCTACTTCAAGGCGAAGTGCAAGTTTTCGAATCTTTTGACCAGATAAATTTAAAACCGACAGGGAAACTTGCTTTTGTTAAAGTGAGATTGCACATAGGAAATAGAAAGTTGATAATTGGAAAATTTATAATTTTATAAAATAAAAAGGATTAAGAAGCACCGCTTGGTCTCACCACTTAAGGTCGAACGTATGGCGAGTGGGCACAAACTTCTGTACCAACCTTTAGATACTAGCGGCACGAGGGGACTTCTATTTTCTCCGGTTTTTTATGTTGATCAATTAAAAATGTGTATTTGTGTGTAGTAGTTTTTGCACCGTTTAATGTCAAAACCAATGTCTTTTCTTACAATATGAGATTTTTTTGATTTTTTATAGAGCTTTAAATGTTCTAAATATTGCTGAGCTCAACATCTTTGTCAATATTGTCATATATTTTAAAACGTTTGCTTTTGTCTTCTTTGAAAAATCAGATGCTGAAAACCTGTTACATCTCTTTTTCTTAAAACTTCTTGTCCCTGTCCATCTCTTCTCGCTGAGTTAATTGAATGTTGCAAAGAGAAACCGAATAACTTCGACCAATATTGCACTTATCGGCCAGAAAAAGGGTTCCATTCAATACGATATTTTATATCATAAAAGTAATATTAGTATAGTAAAAACTTCCATATATATCATGGAACAAACTGGAACACACATGGTGCTCTCTTATTTTAAGTTACTTTCTTCTTCGAGAATTTTTAACCAATTTTCTTATATAGTTATATAGTATATAATACTATTTTTATAGTATCTCTCCATAATTGTCAATATAAAAGAAAAGAGTGTCTTCTTGTATATATCCTTCTTCGGAGTAAAATTGTTTTTGATTAGATATTGGCCTGTTCATACGTTCATCTCTCTAAAAACCTGAACCTCTTTCATTAGAACAAAAGACCTATCTTTGTGAACAAATTACATCTCTTATATTTCAGATCTACAAGCAAAATTTGGACTATATTACGATTGAGTCTTATTGATCTGAAGTAGTTGAGCTTTGGTGAGATCTCTTCATATATTTTAGATCCTCTTTTTTTTCTCTCTTTTAGTAATCTTAACCACATCAAGCCCTCATCGATTCTCAAAGAGTTATATAGTAGTGCATAAGATTATATATATGTGGATATCTATGGAAATGGATAGCCAGATAGTTTATGTTGTTTGATGATTAGATTTATAGACAAGTTGGGTTAATTTTTCCTTTTTCTTTGCCCCCTTACTCACATACAAACCCTATCTATCCGTACAAAAGACTAAAAACCCTAACTTTCCCTCTCTCACCCCAAAAGATATTATCATTTCTACTTCCACGAGAAAGGTTTATTCACAGATCCATCACACCGATGAAGACCTTGCATGTGACGGCGAACGGTGGAGATCTGGCGGAGGGTTGTGGAATACTCGCCGGAGACAATGATGAGGCTGGTTTGATGGATGGAATGGGTGAGGTCGGTGGAGAGATCTGGCTAGATGACCATGAAGGAGACCATGGTCATGGTCATCGTGAAGATGATGATTTGATTGTTCACCATGACCCATCAATGTTCTACGGAGATCTACCAACACTTCCTGACTTCCCATGCATGTCGTCATCTTCATCATCCTCAACATCTCCAGCTCCTGTCAACGCTATCGTCTCCTCAGCCTCTTCCTCTTCCGCAGCTTCTTCCTCAACTTCCTCAGCCGCTTCTTGGGCTATATTGAAATCAGACGGTGAAGATCCGACTCCGAACCAAAACCAGTACGCATCAGGAAACTGTGATGTGGAATCTTCAGCGGCACTACAATCTACTGCTTCCATGGAGATTCCGTTAGATCACACTCAAGGCTTTGGTTGCGGCGAAGGCGGTGGTGATTGCATTGATATGATGGAGACTTTCGGGTACATGGATCTACTCGATAGTAACGAGTTCTTTGATACGTCAGCCATCTTTAACCAAGATGAGGACACGCAAAACCCTAACTTGATGGACCAAACGCTCGAGAGACAAGACCAGGTCGTTGTTCCAATTATGGAGAATAATAATAACGGTAGTGGAGGAGACATGCAAATGATGGATCCTTCGTTGGAACAAGAGGATGATCTTGCGGCTGTGTTCTTGGAGTGGCTAAAGAACAATAAGGAGACTGTTTCAGCTGATGATTTGAGGAAAGTGAAGATAAAGAAAGCGACTATTGAATCAGCCGCTAAAAGGCTAGGCGGTGGGAAAGAAGCGATGAAACAGCTTTTGAAGCTGATTCTTGAATGGGTCCAAACGAATCATCTACAGAGAAGACGCACCAACAACAACAATCTCCCATATCAACAAGATCCTTTTCAAAACCCTAACCTAATCCCACCCTCTGATCAAACATGTTTCTCACCGTCCACATGGGTTCCACCTCCTCCTCAGCCTCCACCACCACAACCGGCTTTTGTATCGGATCCGGGTTTTGGATACATGCCCGCTCCAAATTATCCACCTCAAGAGTATCAGCTTCCATTACTCGAGTCTCCACCGACGTGGCAACCACCACCACCACCACAGTCTGGTCCCATGCCACTTCAGCAATTCACTATGCCAAACCCTCAGTATACTCCATTTCAAGACCCTGGAGGTGGTTTCAGTGGATACAACATGAATCCGTATCAATATCCTTATCTTCCTTCTTCTGGACAAATGAGAGATCAGGGATTGCTTCGTATGTGTTCCTCAGCTACTAAAGAGGCAAGAAAGAAAAGGATGGCTAGACAGAGGAGGTTCTTGTCTCACCACCATAGACACAGCAACAACAACAACAATCAGCAAAACCAGACTCAAATCGGAGAAGGCTGTGGTGCTGTGGATCCTCAGCTTAACCATGTGCCTACTACAGCCACGGGTGGGACTTGGATGTATTGGCCTAATGTCCCTGCTATGCCACAGCCGGTATCATCTCAACTACCGGCCATGGAGACTCAGTTGCCCACCATGGACCGAGCTGGCTCTTCTTCTGTTATGCCACGTCAGCAGGTGGTACCAGATCGCCGGCAGGTACAGTACATGCAAACTCATCTTTCTATTTGAGTACTTTCGGCTACATGCAAAGAGTGGTGAAATTGCAACATGTTGTTATAGTAGATGAAGAAGATATTGATTATAGTTGCTATGTAAATTGAAGTGTTTATGTTTTGATTTTTGTTTTTGTGTTTTGGGTGTGTTTTGTTTGATTTCAGGGATGGAAACCAGAAAAGAACTTGAGGTTTCTCTTGCAGAAAGTGTTGAAGCAAAGCGACGTGGGTAACCTCGGAAGAATCGTCTTGCCAAAAGTAAATTTATTTCTAATTTCTTGGAGCCTTTGTTTTCCTTTTTTATATATGTTCAAGTAAAATTTAGTTATGGGTTTTATTTAGATTCCTTTCTTTTTATTGATTTAATTTCATCTAAAACAGAAAGAAGCTGAGACGCACTTGCCGGAGCTGGAGGCAAGAGACGGCATCTCTCTGGCCATGGAAGACATTGGAACCTCTCGTGTTTGGAACCTGCGCTATAGGTAACTACGAAATAAGTGAACTTGCTAATTTTGATTTTTTTTTTTATAATTGAATTTATTAGTGTGTCTGTCAAGAATTGGAACTTGGCCAATCTTCGGGTGTTCATAAAACTTTTTTCTTTAATTGGTATGTAGATTTTGGCCGAACAACAAAAGTAGGATGTATCTCCTCGAAAACACCGGTATGATCTTGAAAATACAACAAACATTACTAAATTTTCTTTTCTATATATCGAAATCGTTTTTATTCTGTAATTTATGTGACGTGTTTTTGTTGACATTTTACAGGCGATTTTGTGAAAACAAATGGGCTCCAAGAAGGCGACTTCATAGTCATATACTCCGATGTCAAATGTGGAAAATATGTAAGAAGCATTACATTTATCTTCTTTAATTTTCAACTTTCATCGGTACTTTTTGTAGCCTAACTAAATCTCGTAATTACGTAATATTGGGGACAGTTGATACGAGGGGTCAAAGTAAGACAACCAGCAGGACAAAAGGTAGAGGCTCCGTCGTCGTCAGCAGCTGTAACGAAGAGACAAAGCAAGTCGCAGAGGAGCATTAACAACAACTCTCCGTCGGCAAATATAGTCGCTTCACCAACTTCTCAAGCAGTTAAATGAAAAAAAGAAAAAACAATATAAATATTATTATTATGTACGAAATAATAAAGAGACGAAAAGGAAAAAATGGCAGCGTACCTGAGTGTGCCACTTCTCGTGCATGCATGGGATCTCGTGGACCGACGGAGGTTTATGATTAAAGCAGTTTTGTCGAGGTCCAAGTATTTACTCCATTTTTCCCCTTTTTTTTCTCGAGTTGTTTTAAATAACTCTTTTTTTTTACCTTAAGGATGTTGTAGAGATAATTAACTCTGGAAATGGTGTTTGTATTATATTTCGGGAAGATTCTTACAGTATTTTTTGGTTGTGTAAATTTGTTTATTTCACTTATGATGCACTGAGCTGACACATCGTTCTGGTGTGAATGTTTTGTGCGCCTAATGTTTTCATGGAAGATGATAATTGTACGAAGCCAGCTTACAAAAAAAAAAGGATGATATTGTACGTGTAAAGAGTTTATCACTTTACTTATTGGGATTGATGTGAACGTAAAACTATAGTTATACTTGGGGCTAGTATATCTCTAATCTGACTATGTTTTATTTTTATGCCAAATAAATCTTATGCAACTTCATTTCATATCTTTGTATAAGGGAATAAAAAATAGAATTAATTCAGAAACTAAAGTGATATTTATTTTCATTCTTATTTTTTCTTTATAAAAAAACATTGCATTTCTCAAAGGAGTTACGCTCCAAGAGTAGAGTCCATTAGAGCATCCATAATGGTGGACTCACTCATTGAGTCTTTAAGATTATTAAAATAACTTTTTTTTTATTTTTAGGATTCTAATCCAAATTGTATGTTCAATGGTGTTCTCCATTTTGGGATTCTTAGCAATAAAAAATATTTAATTTTTAAAAATGTGAAATTAATTTTATTTATTTATTGAGTTATTAAATATAAAAGATACAATAATTTTAATTTTCATCACCAAATTTGTTTCAAATATCGATGATTCCGACGAAATCAACAACTCTCCAAGCTTCGTCTTCTTCCTCTTCCTCGGGAGAGAACTGCCACGTCAACAAGGATTCAATAATTTTAATCCTTAACTAGGAACTCATCCTTAGAGCACCCGCAACCACAGATCCTTAGGTGGGATCCTTAAAGAAATATTAATTTTATAATCAGTAGGTCTCATGAACAGTTAAGGATTTTATCCTTAAAATCTTTATTTAAGGATTGATCCTTACACTATTTGCGGGCTACATTGCCCACGTGGCGGCCCGTGAATGGTCAATTTTTAAAAAAAAAAAAAATCTAAAATATCCTTATATAATCCGAAATACCCCTTTTTCTTTTTCTCTAAAGATTTTTCCTAAATACCATTGTTGCGGATGCTTTTAACTTATTCCCATGTTATATTATTAGTTTAATGGTAATAGCAAGGACTACATGTTTAAGGATTCATTATAATCTCCCATTATACATGCTCTTACATATCTAGCAGAGGTTGATTTTGCCACTGAACAAATTTATGTAAGCTGCATTGAAGTTTTGAAAAATAAAATAAAAGAAGATTACATCAAAAATTAGATAAAATGATAATTATCAAATATGATACTGAACAGTTAAGATTGGCATTGTCTCTTCTTAAATAGCTAATCAGATAGAACTGTATAAATTAGAAGTTTGAATAAACGGCAAGAGATACCGCACGATGAACATCAATGATTTCTGCCACAAGAACTGATGAGACACGACTATACGCTTCCAAAAACTTGGGGAGGAACCGTGCAGTTTGACCAAAATAAGATTTCATCTATACTACAACTTCTCGACTTAACATCCCAAGTTGCATCAACCTTGCAATAAAGTATGATTAGAATGAAATTCAACAAAATTTTGAAGTTACTTTATTTAAAAAAGGGTAAAGCAATACATTAGAGCTGTTTAAAATAAAAATGACTGAAAATTCAAACCCAACAAAAACATGAAATTAAAAGAAAAAAAGGTAAAGCAATACGTTAGAGATGTTTTAAATCATAATAACTGAAAATTCAAACCCAATGAAAACATGAAATGTTAATATGATCTCTAATCTTCGAAAGCACCATCCCCAAATTGCTATAGAAATGATGCAACTATTGACATGCACTGGTCAACAAAAACAATTCCTCCCTCATTAATATTCGAACAATTGTTTATATGTTGCCATGGACCTGATAACTGTGTTAGCCTGTTTTATATGGGGCAAGTATTTTCGTGATTCAAGTTTGGTTACTTAGCCATTTGGGCCTACGAGCCTTGTAAAACATTGCACCTCTCCTTAATTTTAGTAGTACCAACCTTCAACAAAAGAAAACAAACGAGGTACAGCAAATAGAACCGATCTCCTATGCGATTTATGAAAGATTTAAACTAATCTAAAAAAACAAAAAAATTAGAGACCTAAAAATGTTTTTTAAGGGATCTTTGTTTATGTTATTTTCTTCAAAAAATTTGGGAACCTAAAGCGAACGTTTCATTTGACTTAGTTCTACGGCCGATTCTGACACTAAATTGAGTCACAAAATAAGAATTTTTTTGTTGTTGAAGGATTTGCTTTCTCTTTAACATGTATATATATACTACTCTCAATTTATGGAGTTTTAGGTTGCCCAACTAATAAAATTAGATACAATATATGAATGAGAAAAAAAAATTGGTCATCATATTTAGGATTGTAGAATATTTTATTTTTCTACATTCATAAAAAAATAATTATTTTCTTCAAAAAATTTGGAAACCTAAAGCGAACGTTTCATTTGACTTAGTTCTACGGCCGGTTCTGACACTAAATTGAGTCACAAAATAAGAATTTTTTTGTTGTTGAAGGATTTGCTGTTCTCTTTAACATGTATATATATACTACTCTCAATTTATGGAGTTTTAGGTTGCCCAACTAATAAAATTAGATACAATATATGAACGAGAAAAAAAAAATTGGTCATCATATTTAGGATTGTAGAATTTTTTCTTTTTCTACATTCATAAAAAAATAATTAATATTTTTATTATTTCTTATAACAAGTTAATATCTAAATAATTATTTTTAAAAAATATATAATATTATAAGTTTTTCTTATAATAGAAAAGAAAAAATAAAAATATATTAAAGATATTATGAGTTGGTACGAAATAGATTTTACATTATTGTCATTAATTAAATTCTGAAAATGAATATTTTCAGTGACATATATAATAAATAACATGCTATTATTTATAGATAATGTTCATGTTTTAATAAAATAGAAGTATTTCAACAAATTAAAACGAGAAAACCACCAAAATAACCTCCAACTTTCAAAAAGAAGAAAAAAAAAATCTGAACTTGAATTTGAGAAATTTAAATTCTCATTTTTTAATATAGGCCAAATTAATCTCATATTTTTGTTGACTATATCATTTAAGCTACTCCAAATTCAACGTTAATTAAAACATAAACGTCGTTAACTTTTAAACTATACAAAGCTTAATTCTGTGTGGTTTGGTGCGTGGGTGGCACTTGAGATCAGATTCAAACCCCGTGTGGTAAGGTGGTAGTGGTTCAAGCTTTGGTTATGTCGCGAGGCTGGGCCGTTGTTGTTCCAAACTCCGATAATCGTATTCCCCCGTTTTGCAGTTGGTTGTTCTCCTCTGTGCGTTAAGTAGTTAGATATGTCTCGAGTTGGAACATGCGCTTGTATTATGTGTTGCTGCAGCCTTTTGTTCTTCTTAGTTGTTAGCTTTTCTCTTGGCTGGGTCATCGTGCTTGGGCTCGCTCTGGTGATAGGTTCGTTGTTGTGTAGGGTTCTTTTATGTGTGCTCTGATTTCCTTCGATTCAGAGTTGGTTTTAACGAGGCAATGGATTCGATCGTCAAGTCTTCTCTTGAGAGAAGGTGAGCATTCTTTGGTTTTCAGGTCGCTGGGGGCCTGGGGCTGTGTCGCGAGTGTCCGCGTTTAAGAGTTTCCCCAAGTTGAGATTCAAGGTTTTGTCTTTGAGCTTGCCCTTTGGAGAGTTTAGCTCCGGTGAAGTTTCAGATGTGTGATAGTGTTAGAAATTGATGCTAGTTTGATCTTTGGCTGGTTTCTGAGTCTCTGCCTTGGTTTCGAGTAAGCTCTCTTCCTGGTTGGTGTTTGCTCAAGGCTTATGGTTCTTGGTGTCAGGTTTGGTTGTTCTCTCCTAGTGTGAAAAGAGTTTCAGTGTTAATTGTTCTACTAATACTCGGTTGTGTGAGCTTTAGTTCCTGATTTTGTGTTTAGATTCCGGGGATTTCTTCATGTTCGGCCGGCTATTGTATCTCTCCTTGTACTACTGAAAATTTCAGTCTCTCGGAGTATCCATGCATCTATTGGATAAAAAAAAGGTCATGGGCTTTTTATTAAAAATGTGAAAGAGAAATGACAATGGACTCAGCCCAAATGGAATGTCTATTAAATGAAAAATGGCAAAGTGGGAGAGTCCCACATCAGCCAGAAATGAAGAGATGGAGGAGTATATATATGCTTCTCTATTATCATGTTGTAAACAGCTCAGAGAGAGCAAGATCCCCACGCGCGTGCCGCCGCCGCTGTCCGGCCGGCTCGGGCTTGGGCTTGGGCTTGGAGGGCCGCTGGCCCGATAAGAAGTTATCTTTTTGGACCAAATTAAGCTCAACGCTTTGCCAATTAAACTTCAAAAAACAGCATGCAAATTTATTTAAAACGACAAGTAGTTCGTCTAACAAATAAAAAAACGTCACGCTGTTTATTCCTAGCCAGATATTTTAATAAAACCGAGAGAGCGAGTCTTGGGGGATAAGTTCTCGTAACTTAAACTTTCCGAGATCTTGGCCAAATCCCCACTAACGAGCACACGTTACGGGAAGTTGCTCCTCGTCTTCTCTTTAAATATCGTCTCTCATCTTTCTTCATTCTTAACTTTTTCACGCAAGAAAAAACCAGAAAATCTCCCAAAGTAAGTTTAGAGAGTGTTCGTAAAATTTAAGTTCGCTAGGTCGTTTCACGAGTGAAGCGTGAATCGTCTGCCATGGTT